ACAGAGTACACCTCCTCCATATATATATATATATATATAACTGTGTGTAATACAGAGTACACCTCCTCCATATATATATATATATATATAACTGTGTGTAATACAGAGAATACCTCCTCCATATACTATATATATATATAATACAGATACACCCCTCCCTATACTATATAATAAACACCTCTCCCTGTATAAATACATTACACCCCCCATATATATATATATATATATCCCTGTGTGTAATACAGAGTACACCTCCTCCGCCATATATATATATATACACTGTGTGTAATACAGAGTACACCCTCCCTCACTGTATAATATACTCCCCCCCTCCCTGTATAATACCCCCCCCATATACCTCTCCCTGTTATACATTACCCCCCCCCCCTGTATACACCCCCCTCCCTGTATAATATACCCCCCCCCCATATATTATACCCCCCTGTATAATACACCCCCCTCCCTGTATAATATCCCCCCCCCCGCATAATATACGTCTCCTGCTTGTATATTGTGTTGCTATGGAAGGTGTCTGTGTTGCCCTTAGGAACCATTCCTGGCCAGGTCTCATTTTGCCATGCAGATCTCTGTCCTGTGATTGGTCGCTCCGTTCTCCCTCCTCCCCGGTTGTCAATGGCTCTCCCTCTTGGATTCTCCAGGCCTGGCGGGATTTCTAGTTACCATGGAAACCTGTTCCACAAAACAGAAACTAAATATGTTGCCAGGCAACATGGTGACTTCATGACTGGAGGACCCCCCCCCCCCCCCCCCGACAGACATTGCTGTAGGTCGTTCGTGTCCACTTACCCACCCCGTCCGCTTCCACCCTGAAATCAAAACCCCAGCAGCTGTGCATGGCAACCAATCAGCTTATGTCTTTCATTTTAAAAGCTGAACTGAATAAGCTGAAGACTGAATCTGATTGGTCGTCACAGCTGCTCCAGTATTGATCACTTCCCCTCGTAGTCTGTCAGGTATAGTTGGAGTCTGACAACCGGAGTCGCCTCCTGTCTCTATGACTTTGTAGTGTCAATTGGTTGCTGATTGTAGATGGCCTGTGTGAGAAGCCTCAGGCAGAAGCTGTCACCCTCAGGGCACAGTTCCAGGGCGGTGGAGAGGAACCTATTCAGGTGATGACACCGCCTAGGAGCTCAGTGACCTGCAGCTTCCGTCTGAGGCTTCTCATGAAGATATTTCACTTTTGAAGGGTTACCAAAAAACTGCATATGTAGGTAAGGGGAGTCTGTAGATAGAACACACAGGGCAGCTCTGACTAAAGTTCAATAATGATCTTTCTATGGATGTAGGCCGTTTACATATTTCATGAAGCCTGACTGGAGAGCTCCCAGGATGTTGCTAAGGACGTTGCTAAGTGAGGCCTAGTCATTTCTGCTCATCTCTAACAACACAGGAGTGAGCTCTTTCCTGATTCAAACCCCCTCACATGGCTCTTTCTCTCCCCTGATGCAGAACCTCTGAGCTCAGCAACTGAGAGCTCACTCCTGTGATGGAGGAGGTGAGCGGTAACAGCTAGGCCTCTCTCAGCAACGTCCTGTGATGGAGGAGGTGAGCGGTAACAGCTAGGCCTCTCTCAGCAACGTCCTGTGATGGAGGAGGTGAGCAGTAACAGCTGGGCCTCTCTCAGCAACGTCCTGTGATGGAGGAGGTGAGCAGTTACAGCTAGGCCTCTCTCAGCAACGTCCTGTGTGATGGAGGAGGTGAGCAGTTACAGCTAGGCCTCTCTCAGCAACGTCCTGTGATGGAGGAGGTGAGCAGCAGTAACAGCTAGGCCTCTCTCAGCAACGTCCTGTGATGGAGGAGGTGAGCGGTAACAGCTGGGCCTCTCTCAGCAACGTCCTGTGATGGAGGAGGTGAGCAGTAACAGCTAGGCCTCTCTCAGCAACGTCCTGTGATGGAGGAAGTGAGCGGTAACAGCTGGGCCTCTCTCAGCAACGTCCTGTGATGGAGGAGGTGAGCGGTAACAGCTGGGCCTCTCTGAGCAACGTCCTGTGATGGAGGAGGTGAGCAGTAACAGCTAGGCCTCTCTGAGCAACGTCCTGTGATGGAGGAGGTGAGCAGTAACAGCTAGGCCTCTCTGAGCAACGTCCTGTGATGGAGGAGGTGAGCAGTAACAGCTAGGCCTCTCTCAGCAACGTCCTGTGATGGAGGAGGTGAGCGGTAACAGCTAGGCCTCTCTCAGCAACGTCCTGTGATGGAGGAGGTGAGCAGTAACAGCTGGGCCTCTCTCAGCAACGTCCTGTGATGGAGGAGGTGAGCAGTTACAGCTAGGCCTCTCTCAGCAACGTCCTGTGATGGAGGAGGTGAGCAGTAACAGCTAGGCCTCTCTCAGCAACGTCCTGTGATGGAGGAGGTGAGCAGTAACAGCTAGGCCTCTCTCAGCAACGTCCTGTGATGGAGGAGGTGAGCGGTAACAGCTGGGCCTCTCTCAGCAACGTCCTGTGATGGAGGAGGTGAGCAGTAACAGCTAGGCCTCTCTCAGCAACGTCCTGTGATGGAGGAAGTGAGCGGTAACAGCTGGGCCTCTCTCAGCAACGTCCTGTGATGGAGGAGGTGAGCGGTAACAGCTGGGCCTCTCTGAGCAACGTCCTGTGATGGAGGAGGTGAGCAGTAACAGCTAGGCCTCTCTGAGCAACGTCCTGTGATGGAGGAGGTGAGCAGTAACAGCTAGGCCTCTCTGAGCAACGTCCTGTGATGGAGGAGGTGAGCAGTAACAGCTAGGCCTCTCTCAGCAACGTCCTGTGATGGAGGAGGTGAGCAGTTACCGCTAGGCCTCTCTCAGCAACGTCCTGTGATGGAGGAGGTGAGCAGTTACCGCTAGGCCTCTCTCAGCAACGTCCTGTGATGGAGGAGGTGAGCAGTTACCGCTAGGCCTCTCTCAGCAACATCCTGTGATGGAGGAGGTGAGCAGTTACAGCCTGGCCTCTCTCAGCAACGTCCTGTGATAGAGGAGGTGAGAAGTTACACCTAGGCCTCTCTCAGCATCGTCCTGTGATGGAGGAGGTGAGCAGTAACAGCTAGGCCTCTCTCAGCAACGTCCTGTGATGGAGGAGGTGAGCAGTAACAGCTAGGCCTCTCTTAGCAATGTCCTTAGCAACGTAAAGGCAGTATTTCAGTCTGGCTTTCTGAGGCGTGTAAATGGCCTACACCTATAGCAAGTAGTGATGGGCCGAACACCCCCCTGTTCAGTTCGCGGTTGAACATCCATACCTACAGAATGTTCGACCGTGAACTTGGAACCGAACAATTTACTGAGCGGTATCTTCCTGTATCTGAGTATGTGGTGAGATATCGTTCAGCTGCTACAATCCGGCCTGGATCCTATGATGAAGTTACGCGGTATTTCAGTAGTGACACATTCATGTCTCAGGTGTCAGTGGGGTTCCCGGCTGACAGCTGAATGGAAAAAGAATTGTTGGCATCGCCCAGCAATTACAATTTTTGTTTTTAAAACGGTGTGGGGTCCCCCCTCCCATCAGTACCAAGCCCTTAGGGTTTGTTATGGATTTTGAGGGGAACTCCCCCACGCCAAAATTTTTTTTTAAACGGCGTGAGGCCCCCCCCAAAATCCATACCAGACACTTATCTGAGCATGCAGTCCAGGCAGGTCAGGAAAGAGGGGGCGAGCGAGCGCCCCCCCCCCCCCCAGAACCATATCAGGCCAATTGCCCTCAACATGGGGGGTGCTTTGGGGCAGGGGGGGCTCCCCCCCAAAGCCCCTTGCCCCCATGTTGATGGAGACAAGGGCCTCTTCCCTACAATCCTGGGCTGTGGTTGTAGGGATCTGCGGGCGGCTTATCAGAATCTGGAACGCCCCTTGAACAAGGGGGCCCTCAAATCCTGCCCCCCCCATCTGGATGAGTATGGGGTACATGGTGCAGAGGTCAGTGGAAAGTAACACAGAGTACAAGACTCATTGGTAAGTAACACAGAATGCGGGGGTTAGTGGTAAGTAACACAGAATGGGGGGGGGGGTTAGTGGTAAGTAACACAGAGTGTGCGGGGGGTCAGTGGTAAGTAACACAGAGTGCGGGGGTCAGTGGTAACACATTGTGCAGGGGTCATTGGTAAGTAACACAGAATGCGGGGGTCAGTGGTAAGTAACACAGAGTGCGGGGGTCAGTGGTAACACAGTGTGCGGGGGTCAGTGGTACGTAACACAGAATGCGGGGGTCAGTGGTAAGTAACACAGAGTGCGGGGGTCAGTGGTAAGTAACACAGAGTGCGGGGGTCAGTGGTAACACAGTGTGCGGGGGTCAGTGGTAAGTAACACAGAGTGCGGGGGTCAGTGGTAACACAGTGTGCGGGGGTCAGTGGTACGTAACACAGTGTGCAGGGGTCAGTGGTAAGTAACACAGTGTGCAGGGGTCAGTGGTAACACACAATGCAGGGGTCAGTGGTAAGTAACACAGAGTGCAGGGGTCAGTGGTATGCCTGACAAAGCATAAGTAACACAGAATGCAGGGGTCAGTGGTAAGTAACACAGAGTACAGGGGTCAGTGGTAAGTAACACATTGTGCAGGGGTCAGTGGTAAGTAACACAGAAGGGGGGTCAGTGGTAAGTAACACAGAATGCAGGGGTCAGTGGTAAGTAACACAGTGTGCAGGGGTCAGTGGTAAGTAACACAGTGTGCAGGGGTCAGTGGTAAGTAACACAGAAGGGGGTCAGTGGTAAGTAACACAGAATGCAGGGGTCAGTGGTAAGTAACACAGTGTGCAGGGGGGGGTCAGTGGTAAGTAACACAGAGTGCGGGGGTCAGTGGTAAGTAACACAGAGTGCAGGGGTCAGTGGTAAGTAACACAGAGTGCGGGGGGTCAGTGGTAAGTAACAGACAATGCGGGGGGGTCAGTGGTAAGTAACACAGTGTGCAGGGGTCAGTGGTAAGTAACACACAGTGCGGGGGGTCAGTGGTAAGTAACACAGAATGCAGGGGTCAGTGGTAAGTAACACAGTGTGCACAGTGGTAAGTAACACACAATGTGGGGGTCAGTGGTAAGTAACACAGTGCGGGGGTCAGTGGTAACACAGTGTGCGGGGGTCAGTGGTACGTAACACAGAATGCGGGGGTCAGTGGTAAGTAACACAGAATGCGGGGGTCAGTGGTAAGTAACACACAGTGGTAAGCAGTGGGGGGGTCAGTGGTAAGTAACACAGAATGCAGGGGTCAGTGGTAAGTAACACAGTGTGCAGGGGTCAGTGGTAAGTAACACACAATGCGGGGGTCAGTGGTAAGTAACACAGAGTGCGGGGGTCAGTGGTAACAAGTAACACACAGTGTGCGGGGGTCAGTGGTAAGTAACACAGTGTGCGGGGGTCAGTGGTAAGTAACACACAGTGCGGGGGTCAGTGGTAAGTAACACAGAATGCAGGGGTCAGTGGTAAGTAACACAGTGTGCAGGGGTCAGTGGTAAGTAACACACACAATGCGGGGGTCAGTGGTAAGTAACACAGAGTGCGGGGGTCAGTGGTAACACAGTGTGCGGGGGTCAGTGGTAACACAGTGTGCGGGGGTCAGTGGTATGCCTGACAAAGGATAAGCGTTCATTTTGACAATCTGCGGTGTGTTGGCCATGTACAATTTGATCCTTAGTACACACAGTATGCAGCAACACGCATGAAGCTGATGCCATGATCCCGGGGACATGGCCCAGAACTCATCACTGGCGGGACAGACGACCAAGACGCTGGACTGTCCTGGCAAATCGGGGCGTCAGGCTGGCGATC